ATTATATATTATTTGATTGTAAAAACTGAGTAGAATAAACCAATTATTTACCTTTTAACCGTTTCAAGGTAGTGGTTTCTTTTGTATAATTTCTCATGATCATCTGTTCTGTAAAGTTTTTTAAAAACATGGATACGTTGTTGGCTTCCATCAATGATGTAAGGGGAAATTTCGAGAAGCAAGTTTTGATTAAATTTGATTCAAGATCTAAGCTCAACATTTGATAGAGAACCACTCCGAGGCTATAGAGGTCACATTTCAAGTTATATTTTCCTAGTATAACCTGCATATATAGTTAGTGTCAAACATGACACTTGGGTATACGTACCTCAGGAGAAACAAAAATAGGGCTTCCACACACTGTACCATTTAGACTCATGTCTGAATGTGGCATCTCTTTTGCAACTCCAAAATCCCCAATGACTGCCTTTACTGTCTTTTTTTGTAAATTAATTTTCTCTAAGAAAATATTGGCTGGTTTAATATCTCTGTGCGCAATACCAACATCTGTATGGAGGTAATTAAGGGCGGTAAGTAAATCTTTCATGATGGAATAAATAATTTCTTCTGGTAGGCATTCTTTTTTCTCAATTTGAGAATGCAGTTGTTTCATTAAATCTCCATTAATATAAAATGGTGTGACAATACCTAGTGAATTCTCAAGGGTATCCTTGTTATAAATTTCAAAGATATCTAGGGCAGGTACCAAATTTTCATGTCTCAATTTTAGCATGAGAATTGCTTCCTAATTTGTTGAAAGTTGAAAAAGGTTTAGATTCTTTTTTCATTGTGTAATGAGAATACTTGCCTTAATTTTCTTATTGAAGTCCTCTACTGAGCCGAGCAAGGGAATCAATTTGACCGCAACTGTTCCTTTGTGGGTCCCGTTAAAGGCGTATTCATTGCATAAATAAACTATGATCGTGTACGTATTCAAGAATATAAAAATCATTCAAAAGTTGGTGACAAGTTTCTTACCTTGTCCAAATCCTCCAGAACCTTTGTAGGATCAAATTATAATAGAAAGACAATCATTTTGAAAATATCATGTAAAAACAAAACCTACCAATAACATTTCTTGGCTCATATCTTCCGTTCCATCTTGAGACACGTTGCATACTTAATACTGAATTTTCTAACAATTCTGTGTCTCCATAAATTGCATTGTCTTCCGATTGTTCAGAATACTCGCTAAACTCGTCATTGGCACACAAAGTTAAACGCTGCGTGAGGCTGGATGTGCTTTGATCCGCTTCCTCGCTACTGCTGCTGGAAGGGACATGATGATCTGACTCCTGGACAACTTTTTTCTTGCTTTTTTCATCATGCTGATGGATGAAATTTTGATTTGAATAGGTTTATCAGTAAAACCTGAAATATCATCCAGGCTATTATATCGGAGATAAGACTCTCTGTGATTAGGATTTTCATATTCAAACAAAGCTCCCGATAAATCAAATTGCACACTTGATAGGGTTCCGACTTCATTTAATTTGTCTCGGATCAGTTCCATCAAATGTTGATCAGAGTTGATCGTGATTTTTCTTCCGAGTAATAACTTTTGATGCTCGTTATTGAGTGGGTTCAAGAAATTCAACACAATTCCACGAAACACGAAATTGGAGGGCAAAACATGGTTGTTGCTCATTTTTAGTTGTTAAACAATGACGAATGACAGGTTGGTTCACTTGAAAAAAACAACTTCCTGATCGATTAATGTTCAAGACTTGAATGTGTCCTTTGCTCATCGACCAACCCAGAGCTAAATTAAATTTAAAATTCGTTACGAAATTAAGAGTGACACACAGTGGTTTAACTCTAGCCAAAATTTGCACAGTCAAAGGTTGGAATATCGTTCAGCTTTAATTTTGAATAAAACCTTATCAGAAATTATTGGTAATTCTATTTACAAAATTATTACAAAATCTTTTTGTTTAGCATCTTTCTTTTTCTTTCTTTTGGCAGCCTTTTGGGCTTGCTTTTTGCTTTCTTTTTTTTCCTTACTTAATTTGATCATGTCCATAAGACTTAATTGTGACGAGGTTCGACTGCTCGAAGTGCTGCTGCTTGTTTCATCTGAATAGCTGTCTCCTTTCAACATATCATCATAAATGTAGTCATAGTCTTTGGCATTAGGATGTCTCAGGTTTTGAATAAGCATTTCATTTTGTGTTTGAATAAGCTTGATGCATGAGGTGATGGAGTAGCATGGACGCTTGTCTTTTGATGTTTCATTTCTGGAATTTCTCAAAATACACAAAATGTTATCATTGTGGTCAATAATTTGCTTCTCAGAATCATGGCTTGTCTGTTGATTTGAAAGCATGAAATGTACACAAGAATAATAGCCTCTCTTTGCGGCAAGTGACAGTGGCGTCTCTCCCACTTTGTTTCTATAGGTAACATCTCCTTGCAGCTCCTCAACAATTCTATCGCTCTCGTTTCCAATCTGTAATTCGGACTCACTTTCCGCTATTAAGTGATGCAATAGTGTGTCTCCGTTTGCATCTGGAGTGTTAATATAAAAATAATAGGATAGCTTTTCTAATTGAAGGAATTTGAAGAAGGCTTTCACACAGTCTGCCTTCTTCATTCTGTGCAAAATATTCACACCTTTATCCTGATCAAGTCTCATGAACTCATTCCTTATAGCATTTACATCGCCAGGATCAATGTCATTGACCTTGATTTTCATGCCTAATAACTCAATAAATATCTTGTTAATCACAACAAGAGTTTTCTTTTTTGAGAGTTTTCCATCGTTGATAATTTTCAGGCAATCACTAATGGCCATTGAAACGAAGGAATTGGCCATATCACTTCCTCCATACTTCTTTGTACATTCTATGAAATGACCTATTGCACTAACAAGCTCGACTCCACATTCTTTGCTTAAAAAGTTCTTAAAGTTGTTAAATACAAACGGTATTTGAATTGGTAAATGGTTAGTTGAGTTACATTGGTAAAATAGTGAAGGAGCCAACGAAAATATTGTTTCCATTAATTTCCTAGTTTTGAATATGTCTTTGATGAGAGCAGGTGAGAAGAATAGCTGGTGCAACACATTGTTGAGTTTTGAGTCACACATCAATATCTGATTGCAATTATCCAAAATGTAGTTAATAAATGTTAGAGGAAAGTTGTAACTAATGGCTATCAACAAGAATGACCTTCTGTAATTATCAGTAATATTAAATGAAGCTCCTCTATGTAAGAGCATGTCCATAACCTCCCGATCTTTGTTTCCGCTAGTTGATTTGTCACTAGTTGCGTATCTATACATTGCAAAGAAAAGTGGAGTACCTTTGTATTTTAACCTAAATTCAAGAGAAGGAATAGATTTGTGTATTTTTGGAGACTCATCTTCGTCTTCTGGTGATGGCACCTTCAAAGTTTCATCATTGGAGAAACTAGCATTACTACAAAGGTCTACATTTACGTGCGGTAAACTGAGCAAATATTGAACGCTTCTATAATAGCCATTCAAAATTGCGCTGTGTAGGAGAGACCACCCCCTTATGTTCACATGTGGAATATTTACAGAGTCGACAGATTTGATTCTCTCAAGAAATTCCAAATCCGTTTCGATGGGATTAAACAATAAATCATACCAGTCTACTACTTGAACATCTGGACATTCGTTTTGCAACTCTATGACAGCCAAATTATATGACAAGTATTCGGTGGCCTCATTCGATAAGACGGAGGGCAGAAAATGAGGGCTAACATCAATGTAGCAGCTATCACTTTCTTTTGAGTATTTTCTGTGAAGGTTAATCAATTTAGTTGTGAATATTGTCATCTCTTTGGATTCCTCAATTGAAAAGCATCCACACATGTAAATTCTCTTAATATTTTTACATTTTAAATATAAATTCTCAATTAATAAGAGTAAATCGTCCAACAAGTTTTTAGAAAGCAATGATTGGAACATTGTTCTTTGATTCGAAAGGTCCAAGCATGAAATACAGGACGTATTTTGAAAAATTGTCTCCAATCTTTTGGAATTGATGACTTTTTGAAGAAGTGGAAAATTCAACCAATCCACAATTAAATTATGTTGAAAACTTGATTTGATATTTGTAGAGAAAGAAAGCTCAATTTCTTGATCCTTTTGTCGGTTACTTGATCATCATGATAACCTAGACCCCGTTGCAAAACTCTCCTAAATACTTTACAAACATTTGATAGGGGAGAAAAACAATAGAGAAAAATTGGCTCACAAGCAACATAGGAGAATATTTTCGCTAATATTTCCGGAGGTAAATGCAAATGATAATCCCATCCCATCTCCTCATTCCAACAAGAGGTTGTCTGTTCTGTGCATTGAGTGGAATCATGACCATCATCATCACCATGATGAACAGTTGCATGAGCCTGAGGATTCTCTGACAGTTCTGTTGTTGTATTCGCGACAACAAGTTCCCAATTTCTACTCAACTCCTCTCGTTTCATCATGATACAAGATTCCTTCTTGTTGTCGTCTTGAGTTGATGACGTTGTCGTGTCTGAAGGAGTCGTCTCGTCATGAAGCTCTTGTCTCCGACAAGCTGAGGAGGAGGAGGAGTGCTTGTGAAGAGCACACATTTTTAATTGGTATGAATTTTAAAATAGTAATCTTTAAAATAGAAATGCTTTAATTTTGAACGCGTCCTGGCATGTACCCACCTCATGTCGTTGTTTTCGAAGATGATGGACCAACGTTTATAAAAAGCCCAGTAATGAAGAATGAACTTCAAGAGGAGGATTTCAATTCCAACAAAAATGTTTTGAAGAGAGTGTCAATTTGAATTTCATGCATGGTATTTGTTTGGCGCCTTTTTTGTACGACACCTCTTTAAACAGATTCAAACCGCAAAAAATGCAAAAAGCAGATCCCTTAACGAATGCTGCAGCCTCATCCGTGCCAAAACTTGGCAATGATAAAGTGGTTGACACCAGTTTCCGAACAACAACTTCGGTTGCAACCACAAAAAAGTATCATTTAAAGGTTTCAAAATTGGAACACCCCCCA